TTCCTTCCTTCCCTGACCTAATCTGTCTCCTACTATAAATATTCCCCTGCCTGGGCTCCCCACTCTTCTCTTAGCTTCTAATCTACCCAAATCTGAGTTCATAGCCCCTTCCTTCCTCCTCTGCCCCCCCCAAACACAGACCCTTCATGCCAACTTATAACTTTCTCCTCTCTCTTCTCCCCTGACTAACTCTGGCTCACTTCCTGAGAGCCTCATCCCTGCCTGGACATTCTCCATTTAGCTCTATCTCCAGTCTTCAGTTCAACCTTAACCTTAATACCCTCCCTGATCCCCCACTCCCAGACTTCCCTGTGTGGGCCCATAGTCCTTACTCCCCTTCTCTGACTCTTGGCCCCTTCGGTGAGCCTGACTCCATTTCCCAGACCACCCAGCTTTGCTGCTCTCACCCCCAGATTTACCCAGTCCTTATCACCTATCCTTTGCCTTGAGACTCATTTCCTAGATCTTCTAATCCCCAAACCTCAGGATCATTCCCTAACATTGGATCCCCATTTCCTAACCTCACTTCCCAGACCCTCCTATTCCTAGACTCAACCTACTCAATGTTCTCTTGACTTCTTTTTTCCAGAATCTCCCCAGGATACTGGGACTCCATATTCAGCTCTCCTCGCCTCACTCCCCAAACTCAGAAAAACTTAAGACGATCCCCTCCCCCAAACCTATCCCTAATCCTGGCTGACAGACCTACCCTCCCTACACATTCCCCAAGCCTTCCTTCCCCTGAACACTACGCTCACCTATCCTAGATACTTTACACTCGGCTCTGGCCCTGTCCTTAGATCTATCCAGACACCCATTTTACCAGAAGACCTCACTCCCAGAGTCAGCATCCAATAATAGTTTGTAAGATAGTGCCTGGCACATTAATTCCCTGAGCTTAGCTCAGCTTCGCTAGTTGTTCGGTTTTGCTACGATCCCAACCCCCCCAATTCTTTACTATGCCTTCCATTCTCAGGCTCACTCCCCAGACTCTACTCTCGGGAGCTCAAAATCTTAAGAGCTAGAAGGAGCCTCTGGACACCAGGCCAACATATACTTGGTCAGGGTTCCTTTCTGCAATATTCCGGTCAAGTGATTTTACAAGCTTCACTTGACGACCTCCCTTTATGAAGAGTTTTTAGCTACTTTTCCTTTACATGGAATCTCCATCTGTCTCTGAAGCTTTACCCTCCTGGTGGGTCCTAGTTTTATCCTCTAGGACCGAGCAGCAGAGCGAGCTGAGTGTCTTTCTCCAGACAGTGTCCTGTAAACATGACAGACAGCTCTTCCTCTTTCACTCCTAGCTGATCTGTCACTCCCTTTCCAGCCTCCAAGACACATCCCCTGCCCCTGTGTTGTGTCACACTCTACCAGCCCCCAGTGCTCGGGGTGTCCTCAGCAGCTGGACTGAAGATTATCACTAGCTATTCTGCACTCCAAGTGCATTGTGTGCATTTTGGGTAACTGTTCTTTTGGTGAAATTAAGTTTTGTAATAATGCAGAATTTGCCCTCAGTCCCTGGAGATGGAGATAGAGATTAATAATCCCTCATCCCTAAGGTGAATCAATAATAGTGGAATTCGAGGAAATGGGAGGGAGAAAAGGAAGACTGACACAGCTACAGTCTAATGACTACAGATTAGGATTGAGTTCGGATCTTCTCCCTATAAGGGACAGGATGGAGGTCCCTGGAGCAGTTGGGTGATGTCATTTTCACCAAAGCCTCAGGATAAGAGCTCTCTACTTCTGCATTATTATTGGTCATAAGATTTAGAACTAGAATGAAACACATCCCAAACACATTTACCAGAAGAGGAAGCCAAATAGCTTGTCCAAGACTTGAACCACTAAATCTGAATCTGGTACTCTTTCTATCACATCCCACGAGTCCCTGTTTTCCCCCCAAGGATCCCATTCAACTCATTTGAACACGTGTCCATTAAATCCATCTCATTCTCAGTTCTCTCCTTCAGACTAGGAGCTCTCTGAGGTCAGGGGCCATGTCTCCCTCTCAGACCCAGACTGGGTCCCAGAGGTCTCACCCCATACTCTGGATCTGGTTTCAGATCATTCACCAGGTTCAAGCTCTGTTCCCCTTCTTCAAGGATGACTATGAAGGGTGGAAGGATTCCATCCGGCACAACCTCTCCTCCAACCGATGCTTCTACAAGGTTAGGACAACTGGTGGGAAAGCCTAGGGGGTGGGGTGGGAGGCGGTGCCATGCTGAGGTGGGGAAGCCTGCCATTTGGAGAACTTAAGGGGAGGAGGGTAAGAGGCCAGTCCTCTGGCTAGGGCTGGGCCAGATCACATCAAGTACCAGAAGTTCCCCCAAACCCCTTGGCTCTCTCTCTAGGTGCCCAAGGACCCGGAAAAGCCACAGGCCAAGGGGAATTTTTGGGCAGTGGACGTGAGCCAGATCCCTGCTGAGGCCCTTCGGTTGCAAAACACAGCTGTAGCCCGTCGAGGGGAGAGGGGTGGCCAGGGCAAAGCCTTTGCCAAGGACCTGACCCCCTATGTCCTCCATGGCTGGCCCTACCGGCCCCCTAGCCCCAACCTAGCCAGCGACTCCTTCAGTATTGATTCCTTGCTTGGGGATATTCCAGAAGGGCCCCAGCCTCCACGGCCATCCTCCTCCTCTTCTTCCTCCTCTTCTACTTCAGAGCCAGTGTCCTGGCCCCTGGGATCCTTCTCCAAGTTGCAAGAGGGGCCTTTGGGGAGCCATGGGGCACCTACTTCTCCCCTGTCCTCTTCCTCCTCTCCCTCAGAGGGAGGACTCTGGCCCCTCTGGCCCATCCCTCTCCTGCAGGGTACCTCAACCCAGGCAGGGCTGTTGGGACCCCCGGGGGGGTCTCAGCTCCCTCCTTCTCTCTCATCTGAGCAAGGTTCCTGGCCTCTCCTGCCCCTCCCTGTAATTCAGGATACCTCAAGCCAGGTACAGCTATCAGGAGGTAGCAGGGTCCCGCTTTGGGGACAGCTGCCCACATCATACTCCCCCATATACACCCCAAATGTGGTGATGCCCCTAGCACCTCCACCTTGCCCTCACTGTCTGCCCTCACCGGGCCCTTCCTACTGGGGGCTAGCACCTAAAGCCACGGGTCCCTCTGGCTCTGTAGGGGACTTGGATGCGCTCTTCCAGGTGGTGCCGCCTAACAAGAGCATCTATGATGTGTTGGTCACTCACCCCTTGGACCTGGTATCTCCTAACCCCAGGGGGTCTACTCCAGGTGCACTATTCACCTGGTACAATGTGTGAAGAAGTTGGACCAAGCTCTCTCTCCCATCCATTCCTTATCGTCTTCCCCAACCTCCACCCCAACTTGAGTCCACATAAGGAAAGCAAGGAGATAAGGCTTCACCTTGGGGGTTCCCAAACATCCTCAGACCCAAGTCCCAGGTCCACAATTACAAACCAGTTGTTCCCCTCCTCGAGGACTGCCCAGTGATTTGTCTATTCCCTTTTCTAATCATTTCCAGGATTTAAAAGCAGAAGAAAAAAAACTAGATCAAACCGAGTCTCTTGAAAATTTTATTAGAACCACTTCCCTTGTGGAATGATATTGCCATGGCTTCCCAGAGGGAGAGAGACAGTGAGGAAGAGACTCACTTTATGGTTGGATCCTGGTTGGAGCCCTGGGGACAGTCCATTTGTCACAGAATCTTAGAACTGGGAAGGATTTTGAGATCACAAGAGTTTAACCCCCTAATTTTGCAGAGAGAAAAAAACAAATTCATTGAGGGAAAGGAATTACCCAAGGTCATCCAATGAGTGAGAGCCAAAACTGAGACCCTCAACCCAGTTTTCCTGACAGGACCTAGAATTCTACTATCCCCGCCCCCCAACATCTCCATTATACTCTTTCCTATCATGTTTTCCCCCTCCATCCATCAGGTCCTGTCTGTTCTCCAGTTTATACTACCTCTGGGCTGAAAGAAGAGGCTGGGACGCTGCCCTATGCCCCCTCCCTTGGGCTTGGGGAGGGGAGGAACTAGCACCTTTGTTGTGGGGGGCAGGGGTAGAGAAAAGGGATGTGAGCTGGTTGCTCCAGAGCCTCAGGGCTTGTCGGGGGGGTCAGGGCACACAGGGATAGAGGCAATAAAGGACTGAGACACTTTAAAAAACGTCTGTGATTGGGGGCGGGTGGTCACAGCTGAGGTCTCCCCTCCCCCCTTCCTGTGGGGTCTGGACACCCTGCTGTCCTCTGCTGATAAGAGCAAGAGTTTGATAAGGGGTGGGGGGAGAAGGAAGATGGAAGATGGCAGGGTTGGGATCCATGGGAGGTTCGCCCCCAACCAAAGAGAAGCTTGAAGAAGAGAGAGCTTGAAGTTAGGGAGTCCCTAGCCTCCAAGGAGGGGCCAAGTCTACCTCTGCATTTGAGGACAAACCTTTCTTAATTTCAGTATCTTGGGAAATGTACAACCTTCAGCCCCAGACCGCTAAGGGTCTCCCCCAGCCCTGAGCATGGGCTGTCAGGACACAGGATGGGGTTACAGAGGAGGGAGTACCCCAGGAGAGGACTGCTCTGCTTGTGGGGAGGTCCCCTCAGGACCAGGTGTAGTAGGGGTCCCCAAGGAAGGAGTGCCCCCTGTGCTAGGTGACGTCGGGGTCCCCGAGGGTGGGGTCCTGTGGCGCCGGGCTGGTCCCAGCTCCACTTGGCTCACACGTTCAGCGAACTTCAGGGAGCACACCGTCTCCCCCACATCCTCTGGTCGAGGTGAGATCTAGGACAGGGGGAAAAGAAGCAGTGTGGGGAGGGGGGTGTAACTTCCCACCCGCTCTGTCCTCTCAACAAAGGTGAGACACGTTATGCAAATGATTCGGTCACCAGCTTTCAGTTATTGGCCAGAGTCAGTGGACTGGCTGAGAAACCGAATATGCTAATGAGGCGTGGCTCCAACTTTCTGAGAAGGGCCCTCCCCTACTGGCCAGGCCCCGCCCCCACCCCCCAGTCTGCCCACCTGCACCAGCATTACAGCTGTGGCTCCCGGCCCCAGCGCGGGCTGCAGCAGCCTGGTGAGCTGGGAGTCTCGAAAGGGGACGTGGGGCTGGCGTGCCCGGAGGGCCGCCATCACGCCCCCCAGGGCCAGCAGCGAGCGGTTGATGGTCTGCGCTTCCCGCAGCCTCCGGCCCCGGACCCCAGCCCTGCCACTGGACTCCGTCATCACTGCCTTCCACACCCGCTCAGAGCCTGCCAGGTCCACCAGGTGTAACGTCCCTACGGGTGGGGAGGGTCAGTGTTGGGGGGTCACCGTGTCGTCTATGAGACAGGATGTAGGGATCAGTAGTGATTGTGCAGTTGAGGTGTCCTGGGCTCGAAGTACAGGCATTGGCGGGGCTGGGGCTGGTACCTGCAGTTCCTGGACCATGAGGAGGGGGGGCAGTGGTCAGCGTCAGGGTGACCAAGGCATGGGAACGAGAGCTGCGCTCATTCATGTGGGTGGCAGCTGTGGCTCGGTTTCGCCTCCCCAGATTCAGCATCTACACGGCACAATAATCTGTCCTTTAGGTGGTAAGAACACCAAGGGGCAGAGGGGGTTCTTTGCATGGGGAAATGGGGGTGAAGTCCGTGGTTACCTTGGGCAGCTCCCCCAAGTTGAGGGATTAGATCTGGGAGGTCATAGTTTATTTATATTATACAGCAGGTCAATACCGTGAGGTCAAGAGGTTACCTGATGTTGAGCATCAAGGGTTAGGGGTTACCTTGTGCAGAGCCCTTAAATCAGACACATCCCAGCAGGTGAGGCCAGGCACATGGATTCCTCCACAGCCCTCTGGTCCCTGACGCACTGTTAGGCGCTCAGGGGGTCCCGAGGCCAGGAGATCCCTGAGGGAAGACAAAATAGTACAGGAGAGGGACCAGCCTGGATGGGGAGTGAGGGATGATCCTTTTAGAGGGATAGGGCAAGGCAATATCTTGGGTAGGGAGACTGAGGGTGGGGTGGGTGAGGTTAAGAGAGCATGTTTGGACACTGACCTCACAGCCTCATTGTAGATCTCTACCATGCTGACTGTCACACGGGGCTGTGCTGACTCTCCCTGTGCCCCCATCTCCCGGAAGAGTGACTGCAGGGCTCTTGGGGCAATGCCTGGGTCCTCCGGAGGACCCTGAGTGGTGATGAGGGATGAGAATAGGAAAGCATCAGGCTTAGATTTCAGCCCTTGGCTACTGGGCCTTCCCATTCCATTTCCCCTTAGCCTCCCATTCCAATGAGAGGGCTCCCTTCCCCTCCTCATTCCCCAGCTGTGAGATCCCTGCCCCCACCTCCATGCTGTAGGTCTTGCCCGTCCCAGTTTGGCCATAGGTGAAAATGCAGACACTGTAACCTTGGAGACAAGACAGCACAGCAGGTTCTAGCTCCCTAAACACCTAGGAGATGACAGTAAAGATACTGGATGAGGTAAAGTGTGAAAGAGAGAGTGTTTGCATGAATCATGTAGTGTCCAGGCCTCCACATATCTAAATGTAGGAACTCTGGGGGAAGAGGGAAGTTAAGGAAAATGGAACAGGAAAGAGAAAAGTAGATGGGCAGTGGGAAGTGGAGAGAGACAGGTCACCTCTAGGTACCTGGGGAGTTGAGGAGTTGCTTGATGGAGTAGAGGGCTTTGTGAGATCTGTATTTGATTCCTGACTGCACCAGACTGATTTAAGTAACCTTGGATACAATCACCTTCTCTTTAGGCCTCAATTTCTCCATCTGAGCAATGGGTTGGGGGTGTGGGGGAGAACAGTGTCAGACTTACTATCTAAGATCTCTTTTATCCCTCTGGAAAGCTTTCTCTACCTTGAAGTTGTTGTTGTCCTTAAGTCATTTCAGCTGAATCAGACTCTTTGTGACCCTATCTGGGGTTTTCTTAGCAAAGATACAGAAGCAGTCTGCCATTTCCTTCTCCAAATCATTTTACAAATGAGCAAGCTGAGGCAAACAGGATTAAGTGACTTACGTAGGGTCACAAAGCTAGTAATAGTGTCTAAGGACAGATTTGAACTTGGGAAGATGAGTCTTCCTGATTAAAGGCCTGACTATCTACTGCACCACCTCACTGCCTCACTTATCCCTATGGAAGAGGGATATAATAATATGAGTATATGTATATTCATATTATATATTAATATACTGTCTATCTATATATAGAGAGAGAGAGAAAAAGAGAGAGATATCAAGTGATCACCTCCTCTTGGGTGGCATCAGGTGGGAATACGCGGTCCAGGCGGAAGTGACGCTGGCGTCCTCGGTAGGTAGCCGTGATTGTGCCCCCAGGACCGGGATTCACATTCAGCAGGTTCCCAGGGCTCCCTGGCTTCAGCCTGCACAGCACTTTGATGTTCCCTGTGGGAAGGCAGGAGCAGAGGACTGAGTGCTATGGTCACCCTTTAACCCATTCCCTATACTTCAGCCTCCTTATGGTCCCATCCTCTGTAAAATCTGAGAGTGTGGAGAGAACTCAGAGGTCATCCATTCTATCCTGTATCTATGCAGCAACCCCACAGTGCTTGTTTCCCACCATCAACCCCACCAAAAGAGATAAAATGGGCAAAGGGGTTGAAGGCCAGTATATTTTCACTTGCAGAGTGAGGATAACTCCCCAGCCCATCCACACCTCTGAGCTCCAGCAGTCGTCCCTGATAGGCTCTTCTGGGTTTCTTACGCTCTTCAGGGACTCTCCTTCCCCACTGACTGCCTGACAGCTCCCCCAAGGCCCAGCACACCTGGGAGACAGACACAGTAGAGCATGGGAATTCCTGTTCAGGTGGCCTTTTAGGATCCCAGATTGGGATCTGGAAGGGCCCTTAGACTCAGCTAGTCCAATTTCTCATTTTATAGATGAGGACACTGAGGGTCAGAGAGAAAGGTACTTTCCCAAGGTCACAGAAGTAGAAAAATCTCAGTCCTGAGTCAAACCCAGGTTCCCAGCATGACCTCAAATCTAGTGCTCTTTTCACTACATTCTAATGCCCTCTGAGGTCTTTGGGAGCTCTAAGATTCCATGAGACAGCACTGGGAAATTGGGGCAGAAAATGAGGATTAAGAGGTTGGGGCTGGGACTGGATTAATCTCAGGGACACTTGGTGAAAGCCTAGAAATAGAACCTGCCTCAGGGACAGACCTGCCCTATATTTCCAGCTACCTCCAGGGATTTCCACCTGGATGAATATCTTAAATTCAACAAGTCTAAAACCAAGCTTATTATCTTTTCCACCCAGACCTCTGCTTCACCTTCTGACTTAACTATTTGTTGATTGAATTTCTACATATTCTCTAGCATCCATCCTCTCCCTTCATTCCTACTGCCACCACCTTTAACCTTCAACTATTACAATAGCCTCCTGAGAGGTGTAACTGCCTCTACTTTCTTCTCTCCCAAGTGTTGTGTAAGAATAACCTTTTCTTTTTCGCTTTTTGGTGAGGCAATCAGGGTTAAGTGACTTGCCCAGGGTCACAGAGCTATTAAGTGTCTGAGGCCATATTTGAACTCAGCTCCTCCTGACTCCAGGGCTGGTGCTCTATCCACTGCACCACCTAGCTGCCCCCAAAGTCAATCTTAAATGACACCTCTAGGAAGCCTTCCCTGATTCCCTCTTTTGGTAACAAACAGCCTTTCCCCCTGACCTCACATAGGACTTTGTTTTGTACCTCTTGAATACACTTATCATGTGATATAGGGTAATATAATGTTGTTACCTAGTATAGTGTAGTTTACCTGTTATTTATCATAGTGCTCTGTCCCTAGAATAGGCAGGTGGGAAGTGCTTTAGTAGTAGCTTTCCTGGGGTGGGACCGGAGAGGGGGAAAGGCAGCTTGGGAAGACAGCCACTGACCTGTCCTTGGGCCTCCTTCAGAGCACCCTGGTAGTTCTGGGTGAAGGCAATGACCAGCCCACGAAGGTCCCCACAGCCCTGGCGCAAGGCAACTATGTGCCCTCGAAGTCCTGGGGGTGGTGGGGGGGAGGAAGGAGGTTCTTGGTGGGAGAGGACACTGGGGTGTCTCCCCAGACTCGGCTCCCTCCCACCCCTCGTTGGAAGCTGCTTCCGCCGCTCTGAATCCCTCGTTCCACCATACCTGCCAGTTGGCTCAGGATCTGCCTCAGCTCCCTCTTGTTCCTTCGCTCAGACTCCTGGGCAGCTGCCTCGAGCTGCAGCTCTCGGAGGGCCCCCTGAAGCTCCCACAGCTGCCCTTCCTGTACCCCCAGCTGCCCCCCCCAGACAGGCTGTCATGAGGTGGGGAGAAGGCTAGGGCCCTGTCCTTCCCCAGCTGCCTTCCCAGCTGTTCTTGTAACTCACCCCATACCCCCTAGTCAGAGGGCAGCTAGGTTGCACAGTAGCTATAGCACTGGGCCTGGAGTTAGGAAGGCCCGAGTTCAAATCTGACCTTAGACATTTACTAGCTATATGACCCTGGGCAAGTCATTTTACCTCTGTTGGCCTCAGTTTCCTCAACTGTTAAATGGGGATAGTAACAGCACCTATATAAATGCTTATTCCCTTCCCCTTCCCCAGTCTGGTCAGGTCCTCACCTGGGCCCTGAGGGTCTCTGTTGACTCTTCAGTTTCTCTCAGCCGACTCCTAAGCTCCACCAGGACCTCTGCCTCCTCCTGTTTGTGGGAGGGACACTTGGGAGTCAGGAGTTGACGGGGGCAGAGGGTGAAGTGGTACCAATTTTGGAAGGCAGCCTAGGCCCTACGGCCTCAGCTCCCTCCAGCTGGGGAGTGGGGATTGTAGAGAGGCATAGAAGCAGGCCTGGTGAGGGGCAGAGAGCAAAGTGGTGATGGTAGGTTTGGGGAGAGTGACTCATAGAGTGTCAGAACTAGAAGAAACCTTAGAGATCATCAAATTCTATCTGTGCCCCTCTTCCCCCCAAAAAGCCCCAGCAGCCCATTTACATACCCAATACATAGGACTAGGTCTTGGGTGAACGGGATTGGAAGTCAGAACACCTACAGAAGCCTACTTTCCTGGCAATGTGGGAAATGAAGAATTGGGGGAAAGGGCTTATCCCCACCCCAGCCCATGCATGGGCAGGTAAGTGATGAAGTGGTATATCCAAGTACTGGGCCCTGGAGTCAGGATGACCTGAGTTCAAATCCAGCCTCAGATACTTCCTAGCTGTGTGACCCTGGGCAATTCACTTAACCTTGTTTGCCTCAGTTTCCTCATCTATAAAATGAGCTGAAGGATATGGAAAACCACTCCAGTATCTTTGCCAAGAAAATGCCAAATGGGGTCTTGGAGAGTCAGACATGCCTAATCGAGAAGAACAAAACCAAATCCATACATATATCCAAGTGAACAGGCTGGGAAAATGGATAGAGTCTAGGATGAGTGCCTGGGGGTCATAGGCTCATAGATTAGGGCTAGAAAGGATTTTAGGTAGCTTTCATTTTGACAATAAGAAACCAAGGTCCAGAGCAGTGAAGTAATTTCTGCAGTATCACATAGTAACGGAGCAAGGATCTGATCCTAGGGAGGTCCTTTAACACTCTTTCCAGTGGCCTTTCTAGATTGGTATCTCTCTCAACTGAAAAGAGGAAAGGTAGCAGTGTGAAGTCACCTGGAAGAAGAGTCACCTTCAGGAGGGAGATGTTGGAGGAGGGTGTTACCTGGGCAGGAGAGGGAGTCCGGACAAGGGGCCCAGGCCCCCACTGGAGCAGCAGGTCCCTGGTAAGGCTCAGGCTCTGTTTCAGGGCTTCATTTTCCAGTGTCAGGTGCTGAATCCGTTTCTCAGAGTCTGTTACCCCCTGGGAGGGAATGTATCCTCTTGGAAGCCGGAAATCTGCAACCCCTTCCTGCTTCCCACTCCATTACTTTAGAAGCATGACTCTTTTTCTCCCCCCAGGTTCATGTGTCAGGTGGGATTGCTTCTCTGGATTCATTCAGGTGCCCAGTACCCCACATCCTCCCCTCACTTCACAGGGTCTCTCTCTGCCTTCCAGGGACCCCAGAGCATAGGCCTCACCACTCCCAGCCGAAGTCGGCTCAGTTCCTCCTCCTGGTGTTCTAGCTGTTGCTTCAATTCCTCTATCTAGAGTAAATGGTTTGGGGGAGTCTGGCATGTGGCAGGGTTGGGGGAAGGGTATCCCTGTCCTAGTGATTCCTAGATTCTGTCCTGTCCCAAAGACTAGTGTTTCCCACCAGGGCCTTGCATTGATACTCATGAATGCAACCAATATTTTGATTGATGTGAACTGAATTCTTTCCCTGCCCACTGACCTCATCAGGAAGGCTATGTTGTCCCCTCAGTAACCTCCTCCCCATCTGCTAGCTCCTTATTCCCCCAACCCCTCCTCCCTATAGTCACAAAACACTTCTATTCACCTATCCCATGGGGGGTAGACAGTGCTCTTCACCCTCCATCCATCTCTGCAGAGCAAACAAGCTTCCCTCTCCCCAACCCCTATGACCTCCTGCTTGGAGATAAGGCAGTCAGCTCCTTAACTCCAGGACTCACCCCCCCCATCTCTTTACCTATCTAGGCATCCCCACTTTTTGCTTATCCTATGGGCCCCCCCTCTGCCTCCCAACTCTTCCTCATAAAACCTTGCTTAGCTCCCTTTCTTCCCTAACCATCCTCATGGAATCCTTTTCTGCTCTAGGGTGGCCTCTTCCTCAACTCCAGGCCCTCTTACCTGTGTCAGGGTGGTCCCTTCCAGCCATTGCCAGTCTCTATGTTCCTCTTCCCTCTGCTGAGGTTGCCCCTTAGGCTCACCCCTCATGGCTACCCTTAGGCCTGTGGGGGGAGATGAGGAGGGGTGCAAGGAGAATGGAGAATTATTACATTGGAACAGGAGGTGGGGCTCTGTCAGGCCTAAGAAGCACTCTTAACCCCAAACAGGGACTACCCAAGGAAAAACAGCTGGAAAGAGTGTCTTGGAGTCTTGGCCCCCAGCCCTGTATCCATTCTCCAAACCCTAGTTTCCCCAGTGATCCTGATCCCAGTAGGATCTTTACCTCCCTCCAAGATCAAATATCATCCTCCCCCACTCCATTTTACCCCATATACCATCTGGGGCTAAGGGCTGCCCTCCTGAAGATGAAGTTGGAGTTGTAGCAGGGGCTGGGGCCCTGGTCTGCTGGGATCCAGAAAGCTGATGCTGGGGGCCATGCTGGAGCCTTGGGGGTCGGTTCTCACCTGGCCCTTGCAGCCAGGCTACCACTGCCAGGAGCTGTCCAGTCAGTGTCAGCAGCAGGGGAGCCTGGGAATTTGGGGATAGGGGTCAGTGGGGAATTTGGGGAAGGA